ATTATGTACAGGTAAATTATCAAATGTATTTAAATATTATGTTTATATTATTATAATAAATTAATAAGTAAAAACCAACTCAAYTCATATTTGTTTGTTTTATTATTTAAGAGAAACATCGAAGGTATATAGTAAAGTAGAACGTCCTCAGAACCCAAGACGTAGTGCAAATATTTTTGAAATCATCACATATAGGTAAATAAATTAAAATAATATGTTTACTTGTATATATTTCGTTAAAATATGATTGTATTTGAAAAATATGGTATGACAGAATATACTGATTGGTAAAAGTTAAACAAAAAATGTCTTGTTATGAGAAGTGGTTAAATTAMTAAATATTTTATATCTGAAATGGTTCCGATTAAACAAAATTATACATTGCTTAACTATATTATATCTGTTACGAAAACAGGAAAACATTGTTAGTCCATCCATCTCCCATAAATTATAATGCTAAGAGCTAATCCTATACATTAATTCTAAATATAGTTAGAAAGAGCTAACCTCACTCTAAATTTTAAAATATTTCAAATGTTTATTAAAATTAATTATGCTACGCATTAATATCCAATTTTTAAACTTTAAATGCTAAAAAAAGTTATAAGAATTACGAACATCTTTATTTTTTAATTACAGAAACTGTAATTTTTAGTTTTTTTAAACTGATATTTAAAAAATGTGRAAAAACGTCGAATTAAATTTTTTATATTAATTAATTTCAATTATAAATATCCATTACAGTGACTTATTTATAATTTACTGTACAGCAGAGCGTCACCCACTTATCCATTAAAAAAAGAACAAAAGTGTTTATTATCAAACTACGTCGGTATAATAAATTATTTAATATTGTCAATTATCTACTAAATGAGTGTACATATAGATAATACAAGTCTACAAAACAGCCATTAATCCTGTTAAATACGTTTTTTAAGATACACCTTAAATACGCCTTTAAATGAGCTAGATAAGTATCCCAAAATATATTTTAGTTAAAATATATAATACAAGTGTTAATTATACAGGGTGATTCGTTTATCAAACAACACTCATTAATATTATTTATAAAAGTATTGACTTTTTTCAAAATATTGTTTTACATAGTTTCAAGTTGTTAAAAAACCAACGCTTTTATTAAAAAATTATATTTTTAAATATTTTTTATCCTTATCATTTTTTAAGTTTTTT